CTGCCTCAAAATATGAAAAGACTGGCAGGCAGCTCATTCAATCCCCAGTACCATAAAACAAAACAAATCAAACAACAGTAACTGAAATTTTCTTTTTTCTACCCGAAAATGTTTTCTTTAGAGACATGAAATAATTTGGAAAAAGAAAAAGAGTCATCATAAAATATTCTATATCCAGGCTCTTCTTACTCATTAGTTTTAGTGGGACTTTGTCACAGACACACAAATGCCTCCCTGGTTTTTATTATAATGGTATATTGAGATTGCCACAATACTGGACTTTCTGACTTTGAAAAGTCATGTAACATCTCCAAGCCTTACTTTCAAGTCCTTATAAATATTTAATTGGTAGGTAGTCCTTCTTTGTCACAGTACTTCAATATGAAATACACAATATGAAATGATTACATAAGATTATAAAGATTCTTCTTGTAGTTGTCTTACAGACTGGAGAGAGTGCAAGTGAATGCTTTTGTCTTCAGTGCCCATCTGGTGGAAATGTTGAAGGTGGTGTAGCAACTGGACATTATATTATCTCATGGAAGAGGTAACAGTTATATCAACCCTCTTTTTCAGTGCCTTTGTTGTTCTGATGCATACCTTATCACTTGCCACAGTCATTTATCTTTCTGAAGAGCAGAAATCGCATGAATATGACTGATGAGGTATAGAAACACAAAGATAAAAAGGAAAACGTAGCTTGTATTTGTCACAACTAATGACTTATATGCTAATGAAGTTTAGCTGAACTGAATCTGAAGCTAGGACTCTCGATAAACATGAAGTGAAACTGTTCCTCATTTGTAGTCAATAGAATTGTCTACCTAGAAAACCCAAGGGCATCAAGAATTTTGGCAAGTTTGGTGGATAGCACATCAGTATACCAAAATCAATTGCATTTCTGTACGTCAGAAATAAGCCCCTAGACAATGTACTTTTAAAGTAGGTATTATTTAGATACCAGCTACAGTTTGAGGTATCTAGAAATATTCCTAATAGAAGACTTACATTGCCTTTATGAAGAAAATTATAAAACTTTAAAACATTAAAGGAGACCTAAATAGATAGGAAAAATGCACAATGGTCTTGTTTGTGTAAGATTTAAATTATTCTATAAGTTGGATGAAGTTCCTTTAATAGAAATTCCTTTTTCATTTTTGTGTAACCTGATACTCAATTCATATGAAAAGCCACAAAATCTGAAATTGTGAAGACATTCCAGAAAAAATAGGCAAATCATACTTGTTCTTTAGAGTGCAAGACTTATTGTAAAACTGTAGTAGTCAGCACTACAGTATTGGCTCAGTGATATATAAACAAGCTAACATGATAAAAGAGAGTCTAGAAATAGATTTGTAGATCCACACATACATTAAACTGATATTTTACAGTAGTAGCATTGCTGATCAGTAGAAAAAGGATGAACTGTTCTGTCACCAGTGACAGTCAATTGGCTATCCATTTGTGAAGAAAATTGAATCTCTATTGTATATTATATATAAAAATTCATTCCAGGTGTATTTGAAGATCTAATTGTAAAAGGCAAAACTTTATTACTTTTAGTATGAAATATAAAATAGTTGCTTTATGACTTTGGAGTAGGGAAGAATTTCTAAAGGCACACAAAATACAAATCTTTCAAATTGACTAATTTGGTTTATTGAGTTTTTTATTTCACTAAAACATACCATAAAATCAAAATGCAAACTTGGAAAAGATGTTTGCAACATGTGTAAATGAAAAAGATTAATAGTCATTTCAACTAAAAATCATAAAGACAAGTTACGTATCAGAAAGTTGAGCAGAATACCTAAGTAGGCAGCTTAAATAGAGGAAACCAGGTTACCAGTAAACATGTGGAGAGTGACAAGCTTATTAGTAATTGGAGAAGGACAAAATCACACTTGAGATTCACACCCTGCCAGTGTGGAAAGAGGAAAAGATTTAACAATACCAAGTTTGTAAAAAATGTGAAATATAAATTAGAACAAATGGTTTGGATTAAATACATGAAGCAGTGCTGGATAAAACTGAGGATGCCTGTAGTCCTGCTGACCTAGAAGTCTCAAACACGTATACAAAGGGTATGAATGTTTATAGCAACAATGATTACAATAGCAGAAAAGAAAATTACACACCTTTCAACAGGAAAATAGACAGATCATGGCACATTCATACACTGTAATACAATTTTCAGTGAGAAAGAATGAACTACTTTATGCCTGCCAACATCTTAATGTAAAAATGAACAAAGAGAGCTACAGATGAAAATAGGAAGAAGTTGCATTTATAAAACACTGAAGAACACATAAGACGTACTATATATTTCTTTAGATTACATACATAATTTGAAAAGTGTGAAGGCTTGAGTGGGAATAGTAGATTCCAAATTCAGGATAGTGGTTGTTATCTCTAGTGGTGAGGGTAGAAAAATGCTAGCAGAAAATGCTGTGCAGGAAGATTCAACTATACTTTAATATTTTCTTTTTTAAACTGAGGGATAGATATTTCATGTGTTCCTCTTTTGTATGGCTCAATTATTTTCACAAGTTTTACAATTGAATAAAATATTGCTCAAGTGAAAAGGTACTGGAGTAGGAGTCATCATAAGGATATGTTTTATACAATTCAGAGTAATGAGAGTTTTATACAGTTTAGAGTAATGAAAGTAGTCGCTGTCATGGAAAGGTTATGAATTATCCAAACTGAATCATAAACTTTTAAGCCTAAAAAAATATCAGAAACTTCAAAGTAAGTTCAGAAAGTCCCCTTTCAAGCCTTCAAAAAATGTTTAGTAGATGTAATTCCCTTACATTGTTCACTATTATTGTCATTTTATGAACTGTATGTAAAACATGGAGCGTGAAGGCTAGTTCTCTAGTGGCTCTTGGCCAGGGATCAAACTTGGGCCCTTGCACTTGCAATGCAGGCGGCAAAACTCCTGGGCCATATCCCCGGCCCCTCTCCTGGCTCTTTTAATGAAAAACTCTGATGCTAAGGACTGACAAAGATCAGAGATAAAAAGAAAGCTATAAATTAGCAGCTCTAAACTTTGTGGCCTCAGACCTGTATGCTTTGAAAAATCATTGAGTACCCTCAGGAGCTGTATGTGTTAACCATATCAGAATGTAAAGCTGAATTTTTAAAAACTGATAATAGAGAAATATGTAATTTTATTAAGAAATTTAAAAATCCAATTTTTCTTTTTCCTATTTCTGAATTTATTATACTCCTGTTTAGTTTCATGTATATACTTATGAGTTAAAGCATCATTTCAAAGGAACTGCTTAATTATCCCATCATGCTACCATAACATTATGAAGATATGCTTATTTATTATTGATAAGGGCTTAGATACTTGGTCTGTAGATACTTTTGCTCAGTAGTGGTTTGCACAGAATGTCAGCTCTTCACCCTCTAGATGAAGAGTTCTCCTAAGGAATTAGATAGCTGCCAGCCACCCCTGTGTTTCCACCCTGAATATAAATATTGAACAGTTTCATAATGTTACTTTATTTCAGTAAATAGGAGAATACCAGTCTTTTTTCTGGTAATAAAATCTCTTTAATTCTTCGGTTTCCACTCTGTACTTGTCGTTAGAGCAGTGCCCTCTGAAGGGGTATGAGGCCTTCTGTGAAGCCTCCTGCGTGAGATGAAGAGTTTGTGTAGTGGTGTAATCACCACACTGCTTCCTGGACAGAGCAAGGCCTGAGCATGCTTTGCGATTAACAGTCTGACATGACTCCTGCCTCTCCCCACTGGCAACAGACCACAGCCCTGAGTTGTAACATTTGTTCATAAAAAACACTCAAAACAAAATTGGGATTCTAAAAGCTCTTGCTGCACAAAACTACTTTCATTAAGGAAGTTTTGAAGATGGATGAATAATTTGTATTTCCTTTCAAACTATATGGTAAACATATATATTCCCTGTATTTGATCAATTCACTGTACATCAAATGTCAATTTATGAGATGACCTTTTCTGCCTTAGGACTTCAGCCATGGAAATCCTCCCTGTCATCAGTACAGTCATCACACTGCCACATGTGATTGCAGAAAATATCCCTCTCCACGTGAATGCAGGTAGCAGGAATTCCAGTTTAACCTGATTTAAAAAATTCAGGAATAATGCATGTTATAGCTCCCAAGATTTTAGTAAACATTTCTACTGCAAAATATTTCCAACATTTATAAGTAGATTATGACCAGTCTTGTTTAGTCTCTATCTCTACATGTTCGTTTTTCCCCTATTATTTTGAAACAAATAACAGGGGTCATTTTATTCATAAAAATTGTAGTTTGCTTCTTTATAAATAATGGCTTTTTGGTTTTTGGTGGTTTTTTTTTTTTGTACCAGGGATCGAACTCGGGCCTTTGCACTTGTGATGCATGTGGCAGAACCACTGAGCCAAATGCCTGGCCCAAATAATCGCTTTTTATCAATATAATTATAATTATAATGCCATTATTATAATCTTAAAAGTTAGCAATAAATTCTTAATATTAGATTTTATTGTTGAAAATTTTTTAGTTAACTCAAATGTTTTTCATTGTAGGGTCTTTATATTGTAACTTATGACTAATTCTCATGCTATCCATCTATATCATAGGTGATTGCCTCTCCTTTAACCCTCCTCTTCCTTCCATTGTTTACCCCCCTTCTCCAGTATTACTTTCTCTACCACTTCTTTGTTTTTTTCTTTTTTCCCTTTCTCCCTCTCTTCCTTGATTGTTGAAGAAGCCAAGTCATTTGTCCAGTAGAGCTTCCCACAGCTTGATTTTTGCATGATATATTTTTAAATAAATAGTCTGCCCATTAAATCAATAATCTGCAGGCCTGGTCAGAGTCAGGTCTAAGGTTTTGGCAAGAATACATCATAGTTTATGGAATGAGTTCCCACTGGGAAGCATGTTATTACTACCTGTGTGTCAGGCCTTTCCTTTATCAACTGCTTGGTTACCCTGATACCTAGAAGAACTGTGTACAGTATATCGTATTTGCTTCAGTAGCAGATATGCTTAAATTGGAAAGACATGGAGAAAATTAGCATGGCCCCTGTACAAGGATAACACACGTATCCTGAAGCATTCCATGTTTTGATTTTGTGTGTGTGTGCGTGTGTGTGTGTGTGTGTGTGTGTGTGGTACTGGGGATCAAACTCAGGACCTTGCACTTGCGAGGCAGGTGTGGCACTACTGAGCTAAATCCCCAGCCCAACATTCCATGTTTTTGTATCCCAGGAAAAGTAAAATGGCAGAACCGTAAAAAACATACCCACAAACAACCTCTGTGTGTAAATGGACAGATGAATGAAAGTTTATGGTTTTACTAAAACACAGTTTTTAATTATTGCAGTGGTAGGAAACATGACTAATATTTGGGAAATTATTTGTAGATTTAAAAAAAAATATTTGTAAATTATAATTCAGTTCCGGATAGCCAAACCCTAAGTGAATCTTTTTTTAGAAGACTTATTTTCTTAGCCTGCTTCATCATTGTCCTGTAGCTATTCTCCAGTCAAAAGTTTTTCTTACCTGGCAAGAAAACAGTGATAGCATTCATTTAAGACTCACTTAAAAAAACCACATAAATATAAACAAGCCCCGTTTGTTTAATGAAGAGCAATGTGTTATATTTCTACTATAGATCTGCCATCGTTTGGCCGGGTGAGAGAATCACTGCCTGTCAAGTATCACCTACAGAATAAGACTAACTTAGTTCAGGATGTGGAAGTTTCTGTGGAACCCAGTGATGCCTTCATGTTTTCAGGCCTTAAACAGGTACAGGTCCCTCTTTCCTGGTGTTGCTTGTGTGGACACAAACGTGTGCCTAGGAAATGGAGAGCTGCACATTTCGTTTTTATAAATGAACTGTTTAAGCCAGACAGTGGGCCCTAATGTTTGAAAAAAGTGAATCTATATTTGATAATAGTGAACTTTTAAGCACTTGTAAAGGTTTAAGTTCAACTTCTTATAGAGGTGCGGGTTCCCCTTTTTACATTATCAGAATGAGGCAAATTCTTTCTCCATGTAGAACAAAAGTTCACATTTCCTTGAACTATATTGTTAGAATTCTTGAAAAACTTAAATTTCTGCTTAATTTGTATGTATGTTTTGATTTAAGGCTAGGACGCTGGACTAAACCAACATTAAAAACTTGTTTTTCTTCTGAGCTGTCCATGAAATCACATAGAAATTTTAATCTTACTTGTTTGGTGTGTTTAGATATAATTTGGAAATTTTGATCTTACTTAGACTTGTTTGATTCGTTGATTTATTTATTTTTCCCATTAAGTTCATTGGTACATTTAAAGCAAACAATACAGTTACATTTATCATTGGGATCTTGCACCTTTAAGTGGTATGTCTTGATTCTTGTTTTTTCTCCACACCCCTGCCCTCCCTTCCCTTCACCCCCTTCACCCTTCCCTATTTACAAAGACTTAGTTTCCATTTTTTCCTGTGTACATTTAGATACAGTTTTGTTACATTTAAAGATAAAGTATCCAGTTTTCTTTTTTTTAATGTGTTCTTCAGTCAAATTAAGTGGAAAATTTTATCAGGTTTTGAGATGAGTAAATGTAACAAGCAAAATCCTACTCTAGTGAGAGTCCTGTCTTCTACTGTCAGAGTGATGACACACCCCTCAATTGTCTCTTAATGCCTTTTGTTAATAAGGGCATAGTTATAATTACAGGAACAAACATGTCTTAACATCTAGAGTATCCACCCTGACTAATCAGCTTTTCTCTGCTTTTTCTGAGTTCTGTGTTATATACAAAATAGAATTATATATGAATTGTGCTTATAGAATACTATTTTAAATTCATGACATAGTATTAATCTTACCAGCTATAGAATATTGTTACATCTATATTATTCCTGATACATCCTGTACATATATGTACTGATTTCTCATTTACAAATGCATAAGCTTTTCTTGAATGTCATGATCTTTCCAAGTATTTACATAAAAATAGCAAATATAAAGACACCAAAATCTTAGATGCTTGTATCCTTTTCTTTCTTAAAGAATTTCAAACATGCTTTTCTTTTCCCCTTGAAGTTATTTACCTTAACAGAATAGTAAAATTCCTAAAAAGGAAATACTAGAAACAACTAGTTTGTATTATGTTGGCATGGTATCTACAAATAGACACTTCTAAAGAAATTATTCTCTAACATGCTGTGAGCATGAAATCTGCCTGGTCCTTAGACCACAGAAAATGGTAACCTGACTGGTGTTCTCATTCTTCAGCCGGGGATAAGCTGCCTTTCAGATCTTGGTTGAAACTGAGAAATCATGCATATATTCTTTCTCTACTCCCTGTCTGTCTTGCCCTATCCTCAGACTAATTCTTCAGCTCTAATTCTGTCTTGGAGGATGGAAGAGGAAGATCTGGTGGTCTGTCTTTTGTAAAGGATGGAGGGGTAGCAACTTATGAGTACTGCAAGTATGTGTATTTGATTCTCTTTCTCTGTATTTTTTTATGAATAGATTCGACTACGTATTCTACCTGGCACTGAACAGGAAATGTTATATAATTTCTATCCTCTAATGGCCGGATACCAGCCACTGCCCTCTCTCAACATCAACTTGCTTAGGTTTCCTAACTTCACAAACCAGCTGCTGAGGCATTTTATACCCACCAGTATTTTTGTAAAGGTAAGATTTAGAAATTTTCTGCTTTTAAATTCACTGTCTTAAAAGCACACGGAAAGACTTTTTTTCATGTGAATTTCATTGAGCAGTATTTTGAGGCTAGTAATGATAGTTTGACTTTTATTATATTAACTTGGCAATATTGCTGTTCATTCCCATAAATTACTATTATTTTATAGACTCTTATTTCGAAGATAATTAATGGTTTATCCGTAGGGTATCCTTGAATATGCTTTCTTTTTAGTATAGTAATAATATGTTTTAAAATTGTAGAATATTAAGCTAGGTGTGGTGAATATAACCCTAGAACTCTGCAAGACTGAAGCAGGAAGATTGCAAGTTCAAACTCAGCTTAAGCGACTCCCTGAGACCCAATGTCCAAATAAAAAAATAAAAAGAGGGCTAAAGATGGAGCTCAGCACAGAGGCCCTGGGTTCAGTCCCTAGTATCACACACACACCCCCAAGCCACCAAAAGAATGAATTGTAGAATGTAACTAGTTTTTAATTAAACGGGTTAACTTTTTCATACTGGATTTGGGTCTCTCATGACATGATGGTCAGAAACTATACTCTGGTTTAGTTTTTTGACTTCTAAAGAATTCTACAATTTCTAGGTTCCTGCAATAAAAGAGTATGTAGGATGGTCCTAGTCAAGTATGAGAGAGAGAGTATTGGGCAGACAAGTGTTTAACTGAGCTTGTCATCACATCTGATTTTCCTCTGTGACCGCATTTATACGACTCTATGTGGCTTCTTTTTTTGTGTGCTGGGAATTAAACTGGGGACCTTGTGCTTGTGAGGCATGCGGCAGAACCACTGAGCTAAATCCCTAGCCCTGGCTTCTTTTTTTAATACCCTCTTTTAGAATGATTGCAGTACTTGCTGCTTCCTTTTCTGAGTCTTATTTGAGTTTTAGGGAACTTTTCTTATTTATATAATCCAGGATTTGGTAAACTAAAAGTTAATCTGTGTTTATATATTCACCACCCTCTTCCTTGCTTTTATCTTTCCAGACTTATATAGTACTTTTTCACCTACCAAACAAAATTGCTTTATTAATCCTTCCAAGCTCTTGTCACACACACTTTGAAGTTGTGAAAGAAAAGTCTCTATTTTGGATGTCCTCAGATTTCAGCAGTAGCATTTTATTTTTTTAAATATAGCAAAGCATTTGTTGGTACATTTTAGGCACACATGATGATAACACTCATGGGGAATTTGCACTGTACGTGGTGTAGCCCGCCCCTTTTTTCCCATGCCCCATCCTCCCCTCCCTATGTACAAAAGCTTTGTTTTCATTTTTTTCTTCTATTTTCACTTTTTTTTTCTTATCCCTTCCTTCCTTTCTCCCTCCCTCCTCTCTTGTTTCTCTTCCCATTTGAACATTTTCTTCCCAATATCTTTTATACATTTTAGCCCTTATTTCCACCTTTGGTTTCTCATACAGGTAAAACAATGTGGTATTTAAGCATCTGTGTCTAGTTTATTTTACTAAGGAGTATATTCTCAAGATCTACCCATTTAGCTATAAATGTTTGAAGCTCATTCTTCTTTATGGCAGAGTAGTGCTCCATTGTGTAAAAAAACCACATCTTCTTTATCCATTTGTCAGTTGATGGGTATTTGGGCTGTTTCCAAGATTCAGCTGTTAAGCAGTAGCATTTTAAACACTGACCTGATCATGTTGTAAAGACACCTCTATCTCTTCCTCACTTACGTGCATGTCCCTCTGCAGGAGCAAGGTCCTGTGGCCAAATGGGAGGGAGGCAGTGGAAGATTGGTCTCTCATTCCTTTCAGCTATTTGACTTTTGAAGTTTGATATTCCTCAACTCAGACATAATAGTTTAGTCATTGTGGAACTGTTAATTATCACCCAGACGTGATCATGTTCTAGTTTTACTGGGATAGCTTGAGACACTAAAATTAATTATACTGAGAAATAGATTTTGGTTCCATCATTTAATCTCTTTCATTCTCTAAAGTACTTAGTCCACCCAAATCGAATCTCAGTTAATGCATGCCATTTCAGTTTTTGTATTTTCTCTCAGGGTACTCTTCTTTGGGGGTAATGTTTAAATTTATAAGGAAAGGTACCAGAAAATACATATATAAGTTTTAGCATAAGTAACATACTATTTTCTAACTTACACGATCTCAAATACAACTCCACCATCATTTTGCTGCCAAAAATATGGACTGGAGTCCTCAGAGCTTATTTTTGTAACTTGCGAAAACTTAAAAAAAAAAAACTTATCATTCCGTAGTATATACATATTGCAAAACACATTGTATAAAAGAAATGTTTTGTCAACTTAAAAAAGAAATCAACCTGTCATACTACAGTGACTGAAGATTACCCTTTCTTACTAAACAATCACTGACTAAAATTTTACATCCTTGAACACCTTTGTGTAACTTTCGAATTGTTCTCTCC